AATCATAAGGTCAAGTTAAAGGGACTTTGCCATTTTATATTTGTTTAGACCTTCGCTAAAAACCCAAAAAAGAAAACGGAGGGATTTTCAATTTTAGCCTCTGCTCTCTATCCCCCCCCCCTCATACTCGCATTCTCCTAAAAACGCAGGCAGGAAATACTGTCCTAAAAAACGTAGGTAGGAAATGAATATTGAATGGAGGAGTGCTTCTTTGAGAACCCATTAATGAGGTATGGATTATCCTAAAAATCTGGATTTTGAATATGGTATGTGATTAATGAGAGAATTCATGCCTTGAAACACTATCTGAAGTTGGTGTTGATGAACTATTCGATGCTCTAAGATTGTTATTCATGTTAGAGAGAGAAAATGCTAACTGTTGTACTCAGGCTGCATTAGGCGAAAACTCCTGAGGAAAAAAGCAAACAGTAATGTGATCATGGAATAACAACACCAGATTATCAAAATCAAGAAAGAGTAAGATGAAACTCTTTGTTCTTTTTCCACACAGTTGTCTAAGCTGGTGGTTCTAGTGAGAGAATTCAAAAGAGATAACTGTACTTCAACAGCATTTGTGCTTTCGGAAGCTTCCGAGTATACATCTGCATCATAGTCACTGATCTGCCTCTTGATGCTCTTACTGGAGACTTCTGTATAGCTCTTGCTTATTTCACATTCACTAGAAAAAGCAGAAGAAAAACATTGATTGAATTTTTGGTGTCGGGTTCTCTTTGCATTTTGATTTTTCACTGTATTTGTATTTGTTTAGGCACCTCTAATGCTAAAAACCCAAGCGCCTCATATAAATGGAATTATCTCATTCTATATACTATCTCATTCTATATATAATTTTAAAAATTCTCCCAAAAAATATGAGTTCATATTAGAGTCACTCAATTTAGTTTTTTTTATTCATTGTAGCTAGTGCAATTATTGGCTTGCTTGTAAATCTTGTTGAGATCCAACACATTTGCAAAGTATTAGACAAAATTCCTAATACAGGTTTGTTATAATACCAAAATTTCTAGTGATTTTCATGCATTGCATCCCATTGCCAAAATAGTCTTATGTATTTTGCTTTTATTTAAGCTTTTTCTATGTATACGTAGGGGCCTGTTATAATACCAAAAGCAATGCATTTTTTAATTATTTTACATTCTTTTTAGATACTGTTTTTGGTGCGATGTTGACACCATTTTTTGGCTAGAAATACTAGTTTGCATATGAGATTTTTTAGACAACTTTGTATATGTAATTTTGGAGTTGTACATAACGATTATTGTAAGGTTGAAATGTGGACGCAATATTGATGTTGTGCATCAAACCTAACTAATGGATAGGTTAAAGGGAAAGGGATGATTTTAATGACCGAGAATGACTGACACAATTGAACCAACATTTTTTGTGCGCAACTGCACATCTTCTTCTTTTTTTTTGTTTATTTGGACTGCCTAATTGAATCCAACATGTGTTCAAGATTTGGGTTCATCATGACCCCGCATTTTCTGAAAATGATCCCAACACAATCGTTCATTTGTGTCTCCTTCAAAATGGGCCGTTAGGCATACTGGTACCTGTACAAGCACACACCACAAGAGAGGGAAATCATATGAGCTTCGAAATAGCAAACTCACTTGGGATTTCTTTTTGTTCCATAACCATATCATGAAATTTAAACCTTTTTCTTATCAACTAGAATAAGATGAAAAAGTTCTCCATGTACCACAAACAACAGAAGGTAACATTCGTCTGATGTACCTATGGAAAATTTACAAAAAAAATAAATGATATTACAGAAAAAGAACACAGTGAGTGAGAGAGAGAGAGAGAGAGAGAGAGATGTATCCCGAATGTCATTATTATTTTCATTATCTACTCCAATCATCTTTTACACAGAAAGAAGACCAGGAAAGGTTCTATGGACAGTCAAAACCATGTTCCTTAGATACACTCGGTGGATGTTTACATAAAACCTCTTTATACATAAAAAATAGTAAAAAAACACCAAAATAAGAGAGAGAACTGTAAGTATGCAAAATCTCTCCGCCCAAGCTCTTTCAACTATTGACTGAGCCCAAGCACCTCTGGGGACATGTTGATAACCCTCTATGGGTCACCAACTCCTATGTTTCTTTATGTCAGTATTTGATAATTTTTTGTTTTGAGTTAATTGGTTTCTTCATCAGATAAACCATATTCTTCTCCACCGCTATCTCCATTAACAGATGTTCGAGCTTTTCCTGGATATTGAAGTGGACCTTGAGGAGAACCAAACTTTGAGGAAGTGCTTTTTCTCATGGGTTGGTAGCTTTATGAAGAAGAACCAGAAGGAGTAGAAGAAGTTTGGTCGTATAATTTATCATGGGGAAGCCAAAGGTTGCTCAAGAGAACCAATGGAGGGTTTTGCTGGTTAGAATTTGCAGAAGAAACTGACACATTTGGGCGCCTAGTAGGCAATCGATACTTCTGAAATTCATAAAAATGGGGAGATTGGAAAGACAAATTTGCAAATAAAACCACCAAAATTATAACTAAAACAAAGGAAAAAGAAAAGTTAATCCATAATATCCACCTGTAAATGGCATTTCACTTCATCATTTGTCAAGCCATCAAAGTTCATCAGCTCTCTGATCTCCTTTGGTGTGGCCACTGTGGAAGAATCCAAAGAATAAACTAAGAACAAGTTTCAAAAGCAAACTTTGGATGAATTTTCTTGCTATTTCACTGCATTCAATTGTAAACAAAAAGACCCATTTCAACAAATCTAATATTCGATTGTAAATCCACCAACTCATTTCAGTGAATTGAATGATTCCTTCAATAAATATCAATTTTGGTTTCTTATTTCATTCCACTACCATATGGGTCTCAAATTTGCTTAGAACACAAAGAAAATCACAGTTTTTTGCTTGTCTTTTCCTATTTTAACTTTAATTGTTTTCTGCTTTACATGCACTACTTATCTACTGTGGTGAACCATAACAGTTCATTGAAACACAGACCTCCATTTTACTTCTTCCTACCATTTAGAAAATACATAACACTACTTTGGCAATCGGGATGCAATGCATGAAAATCACTAGGAATTTTGGTATTATAACAGCCCTCTATTAGGAATTTTGTCGAATACTTTGCAGATGTGTCGGATCTCAACAAGATTTACAAACAAGTCAATAATTGCAGTTCATTGAAACAAGTCAATAATTGCAGTTCATTGAAACAAGTCAATAATTGCAGCCAAAAATTACAAACAAGTCGAATTTTGTTTTCTATCATTACATGCATCACTTATCTACTGTGGTGAACCATAACAGTTCATTGAAACACAGACCTCCATTTTACTTCTTCCTACCATTTACTGTCAAATTCAACAGTTCCCACACTTTAATAATATTCATTGTTTTCTAATTCAAATAAAATCCATTCAATCCAAGTTTCTCATTGCAATTGAAGCTTTCTAGAGAAACACAGAGAGACATCCTTGAATAATAACTCTAAGAGAGGTCCTGAAAGAGAGAGGGATAGATTTTTGAGAACTTGGAGAGAGAAACAAGCACAAAGAGAGAGAGAGATGTGAAACATAGAAAGAGATTAATGAAAAATTACCCTGAGATCCACCGAGTTGTTGCAGAGCATTTACAAAGCGACGGTGCAGTTCAGGAGATCGGCACCTCCTAGCTACGGGGAGAAAGAGCAGAGGCTCCTACGCTTTTTAGGAGAGAGAGTATGGGGAGGGCAAGGAAGGAGAGAGAATGGGGAACGCAAGGGGGCGGGGAGAGAGAGCAGAGGCTACTGCGTTTTTTCGGAGAGAGAGTATGGGAGAGGGCAAGGTAGGAGAGAGAGTGGGGGAGGCAAGGGGGCGGGGAGAGAGAGCAGAGGCGTGTCAGAGAGGGGATAAAGGGCAGAGGCCAAAATTCAAAATTCCCCTGTTTTCTTTTTTGGGTTTCTAGTGAAAGTCCAAAATACCATTGTGTACAAGAATTTTGTGTACAAGTCTTGGTTATCCAATAATGTTAGGGTAGTAAATATAAAATGGCACTTCACAACTGCCTCTAACTTGAGCCTATGGTTTTTGGAGGGTTGTTAACTCTAGAAAATCCTATATATATATATGGAAGATTCTGTAAGATATTTAGGGGCGAAAATACAGTATTTTTATTCATAGGCTCGGTAATTTTCGATTTTTTCGGATGGCGTGGATTAAAGACCGTCACAGATATAGTATGTTCGTAGCGATCCGTCACAAACATAGCATGTCCGTGGCAGTCCATCAGGGATATAGCATGTCCGTGATGATAATTTTTTCACGCAAAATTGACACAAAAAATATTCCGAGACCGCTGCCGCTCCCGTAGGTCCATGATGGTTTTTAGGCAAAACCATGGACATAGTCCGTGACAGAGGCAAAACACTATAGAAATTTGTCCATAGGCATTTTTAAAAGTTTTCCTATTTATATATGAACAGTGCTTTTGCATATGCTCATCACCGTCCAAAGTTCATCACATGGTCATAGTTGTCTGGAATTTTCATTTTTTTTTTACAAATCAGAATGATTTGAAATTTGGGGTGTGTGTTCATCACAAACAGGAGAATCTAATCAAAATATATAAAAAACAATTCTCAAAATATAAATTGATCAAAATACCTCTGACAATTTATGGGGGTATTTTGATCAATTTATATCTTACGAAATATTTTTCATATTTTTATCAGGTGTGCCTTACTAAGATGTACGCACATTCCAAATTTTATATCATTTCGATATATAAAAAAAAAAATACAAACTGAAACACTATCAAACAATCGTGACCGTGCGATGAACTTTGGACGGTGATGAGCATAGATGAAATCACTGTTCATTTTCACCTAT